GAACCATCTTTCCCTTTATTTCCCCTCAGCCACTTAAGAAAGTTCTCATAAATAATGTTTCGTCCGTCGATAGTCTATTGGTCTACTAGCATCTCCTCTACTTTTATATGTCAGAAATTTTAATAGCCAAAAGTTTGAATCCTGATTATTGTATTTCTCTTATCCCTAAAAGTTTATGCTCCTTATATTTAAAAAAAACAGCAACCTTAATTTACACCACCCCATTATGATTGTTTAAAATGTTATTTGGCCTTGATTTACCTTCACCCTATAATTTGCTTAAATTACTATTTTGACAAGTAACGCATATGTTTCTTAAAATAATGAAAACATTTGTATCAAAATAAAATAAATTGAAAAGCAAAAAGGCTTATATTTTACTAAAAAGCTCCAATAACAAGACTTCTTGAACCATGATATTAAGACCTTTTTATCTTTTACCGAATGTAATACAAAAGAGTTGGACTCTTTTAATGAAACCAAAAACTCAACTTATATTTTACATTTCTTTATTTAATCATTTTAAGAAGTTGGAGTTTTTGTTTTGTTTTTTCTCATATTGTAGGTTTATAATGTTGTCAAATCAATTTGGCATGACGTGTTTCTCTCTTAGTTATAAAATAACATAATTTGAAATATTGGTATTTTTATAGATAGTAGATTTTTTTAAAATTATTTAAATTTAAAAATTTAGACGTGATAATGTGAAAATTTTTATGAAGTAAATCAGTGCTTTTGACTACAAGTTTATACATTATAAACTTGTTTTCAAAAGCACACATAAATCACACAGCACATCAAACAAACTTACAATTAGGTAAAAGTCATGATCTTTTTGTCACCAATTTGTACATCACCTTGTTCATCTTGTGATATAAACTTGTTGTAAAAGTTTATTTTAATTTAACTGCCTTAAAACTTTACTTTCTTTTTTTAAGAGAAGGCTCCTCTAAAATTAAATTCAAATTTCGATGTTGGCCGTAGACCGCGGAGACTTGTTAGAGCAAGATAATAGTAAAAAGAACCTCATAATTCATAAATAAAAGAAGTTATGGAACCAAACACTTCCTTCACCAAGAAGAAAAAGGCAAGGAATTACATGATTGATTCAGTGATGCATACTTAGATTTATAAATTAAATTTGAGCCTCCTTTTTTGTTCCTTAAATTAATAATAATAATAATAATAATAAAAACATAGAAGAAGGTTAATTCCTCTTGTTTGACATGATTGTTGGCATTTACTTAATCAGTAAACTAATTAGAATCCCTTAATAAGAAGAGCCTAAGCTCAATCTAGTTTCTAAATATAATTATGAGAATCGAAAGCACATTAAACAGGAGAGAATATCATTTTTAACCGATATCATAAAAATAAATATATTTTATTTTACAAAAATGGGTTATGTATAATTTAAAAATATAAGAAATTATAAGTGAAAATGTGGATTGTTGGATCCTCTTTGAGGCATTTTGCTCTGTTATAAGATTAATTCACTAATGAAAAGTTTATTTCCAACCCGATCCATGTCCTCTCATCGGATCATTAGATCTTCTAATCCATCATTGAACTAATACAACTATTTGGTCTGGTACAATTTTAATCACCATGAAAATCCCACCTACGAAGTTCAAAAAAATGGTTGTCTAGTTGTGACAACAATTGTTTACTCATTTTACTTGATTAAGGGGGAGTTTGCTTAGGTTTGATTTGAGAGGAAGAAGTCATTTGAAACTCGAAAATATTCTTTAATGTGACCTTTTAAAAACATTCGTCTTTTTCCGTGGACAATATTATGCCCTTGTCAGAATGTTCACATGATGGTCAGGATATTGGACACACATAGATCCTCCAAATTTAACGGCAGAAAAGCTGAGCTCATCAAGGGACCACCAGAGAGTGGGTCAAAAGTTACTCCGAAAACGTGGGAAAGCGAAAATAATTGTGGCTAAAGGGGGGTGCGTGGGAATGCTTGAAAATGATTTAGGACATGAGCTTAAAATAAATTATTTTAGATCTGGCCTGTGGTTAAACTTGGGGGGGGGGGGTGTGGTGTGTGGGAATGCCTCAAACTGATTCGGATATGGCTTAAAACAAATTATTTTAGAACTAAACTCTAGGCTGTTGGGATGTTCAAGAAATTGAATCAAACTGATTAAATTATATGAACTGAATCAAATTGTATAAAATCAAACCAAATTATATAGTGTAGTTTGATTTGAATTTGATATTTAGGTAAACCGTATAAATCAAACTAAATTGTATAATTTATATATACATAGACCAAAAATTTATTTTTATATATATAGTATATTTTTATTATTTGACTGTATATTTCTTTTTTTTGTTATCTTTTATATTTATACTTATTCTAATAATTTATTATTTTTCCTTTTTAGGGTGTAATTTCTATTAATAATAATGAAATTTTGTAAAATGGTATAAATATATTTATTATAAAATGTATAACTAATATAGTTAATTGATAAATAATGAATTTAGTAAGTTAAACATATTGGAAAAAAATGGATGACCAATTTTTAGGAAAATTCTATTAAAATTTTTATAAAAGTAGTGAATTTAATCAATTTTATTGCCAGAGTGTGCAGAATTTTCGATAAAAAATTCCTCCAAAAATTCCCTAAAAAATTCTCTGACAAAAAATTCGGTCAAGAATGCCAACAGAAATTTTCCCATGGAAAATTCTATCGAAAATGCTGAAAGAAATTTTTCAAATGAATTTTTTGCCGGAAATGTTGTCGAAAATTTCCTTCGGAAATGCTGTCAAAATTCCTTTAGAAAGGGCAACAAAAATTTTCTGACGAAATTTCTAATAGAAATTTTCATTGGATAATGTCCGTCGGATAATATTTATTTATTTTTCTGATTACTTTTTTTATAATTTTCCAAAGGATTTTTTTGCATTTCCTATGAAATTTTTTCGTTGGAAATTTTTTTGATGGAATACTCCATTGGAAATTTGGTTGAAAATTTTGTCGATGGATATTTCCATCAAAATCTTGGCCAAAAAATGTCTGTTGGAAAATATTTATTTAGTTTTTGATTATTTTTTATAACTTTTCGATGGATTTTTTGTATTTTTGACAGGTTTTTTTTGTTAGAAGTTTTTTTGATGGAATATTCAATTAGAAATTTCGTGAGAATGACAAATATTTCTATCAAAAATTTGGTCCAAAAATTTTTTAACAAATATTTTCATTAAAAATTATATCAAAAATTTAACGATTTTACTTTCATCCGTAATTTTTTATCTGAAATTTGATAATTTCTTGTAATCAGTGCCTTCCAGTGGCTCTAATCCCTTTGGGGCCAGTGAAAAAGGATACATGGACATGGATCTGTCCTTGTGCCGGAGGCCAGTGGGGAGGACAATGGCTTTTCACGTTTGCCCGTTTCTAACCATTCCATAACTGCACCACATGACCCATCATATAGGCCGACACCTATGGCAACCATGTTTGATGAGTTTTGGTGCCATTTGGATTTCAAATTTTTATTTTTATTATTTGGACAAAAAAATTAGAAAAAGGAATTTGAAGGTGAGAATTCACTTAATTTGTTAAAATTCTATTAAAAATAATAAAATTTGAATTTGAATTTGAATTTAAAAAATTTTAAATTATTTTTTCAACTTAACTCCTTTGATTAATATTTTTTATTAATTTAAAAAGTGTGACATCTTAAAGGGAGTCTGTGTGACACATTTAGGCGAATCTCATATCGAAAAAATATAGGAGAGATACTAGGCTTATAAGAGATTAGAAAATATTATTGAATAACTTGAGTTTAAGCATTTTGGACCAGTGGTTCAAACTCAATAAGTTGCTAAGGTCAGTAGTGTTTGGGTCGTTACAAATGGTATCAGAGCTACTTCGCGTGCAACCTTGAACGGTGGTGGAGCAAATATCAGCGAGAACGCTGAGTCTCAAAACAGGGTGTATGTGACACTCCAAAGGTGGTGTGTGTTGTGTGTGACATCCTTAGGCGAATTTCACATCGATAAAACACGGAATACATATTGAATTTATAAGAGACTAGAAACTACTATTGAATAACTTGGACTTAAATATTTTGAGTCAGTGGTTCAGGATTAACAAGTTGTTAGGACTAATAGTGCTTGGGTCGTTACAAATGGTATCAGAGTGATTTCGCGTGCAATCTTAAATGGTGGTATGACAAATTTTAGCGAGAACGCTGAGTCGCAAATTGTGGGTGTATATGACACCTCAAAGGGGTGTGTGTGTGTGTGTGACACCTTTATGTGAATTTTACATTGACAAAACACGAGAGAGATATTAGGCTTATAAAATACTAAAATACTACTGAACAATTGGACTTAAGCATTTTAGGCCAGTAATTTAAGATCAACAAGTTATTAGGGCCAGTAGTGCTTGGGTCATTACATATTAGATATCACTTATATATATACATATATATATGTGTGTGTGTGTGTGTGTGTGTGTTTATATATTTATATTTATATGAATATATAAATTTATATATGTGTATATGAATATATGTACAGGGGAAAAGTATTTTTAAAATTTTAGTTTATGATTTAGAATGATTTAGTTTAATTTTTTTTGACCTAACTAATTATAATTTTAGATTATTTTTTAAACCAAATTATTACAAATTAAATATAAAAAATTTAAATTAAACTTTTAAAATATAATATAATTTAATTAGTTAGTTTGATTTACACGCGGCGGTTTTCTTCCAGAAACGCAACGGCAACAGTCCATCGTGTCTTTACGAGTAACAGCATATTGCAAAATGACAACAGTTGACTCGGGTTTTGGGTCGTGTGGCCAAAATCTTTTTTTTTTTTCTTTTCCAAAGGATTTTTTTAGAGAAAAATCCTTTTAAAAATTTTAAAGAAAATTCAAATTTTTTTAAAGAAAACTTTATAAATATCTCGCGAACTCCGGAGTCTTCTTCTTCGTACTTAATTCTCTCGTTGCAATAATCCACCTGAAATGGCATACCTGTGTGCATCTACCCTTCTATCTTTCACCGTGAGACGACAAGAGCCAATTCTAGTTCGTCCGGCAAAGCCAACGCCCCACGAGCTGAAACAACTCTCCGACATCGACGACCAAGAAGGTCTTCGATTTCAAGTCCCCGCGATTTTCTTCTACCAACCCAACCCTTCCGTTCAATCCAAAGACCCGTCCCACGTAATCCAACAAGCCCTGTCCCAAGCACTCGTGTTCTACTACCCGTTCGCCGGAAGACTGGTCGAAGGGCATAATAGAAAACTCTCCGTCAATTGCACCGGCGAGGGAGTCCTCTTCACTGAGGCCGACGCCGACGTCGAGCTCCGCTGCCTCGACGTTGGGCCGGGACAACCTTACCTGGCAGAGCTCCTCCACAACTTCCCTGGGTCGGACGGGATCACTGGGTGCCCACTCCTCTTATTTCAGGTGACCCGGTTCAGATGCGGCGGGTTTGTTGTCGCCGTGAGGCTGAACCACACCATGAGCGACGGTTCTGGGTTAGTTCAGTTTCTGAACACGGTGGCGGAGTTTTCTCGAGGTAGTGGGGCAGAGGTGGTGGTGTTGCCCTCTGTGCCACCAGTGTGGCAGAGGGAAGTTCACTCTGCGAGACGGCCTCCCCGTGTCACGTGCTTTCACCAGGAGTACGAGCAACGGGCTAGCGTAACCATGTCCGGTCACTGCCAGGTAGTGTCAGTGATACGTCGTTTGCGTTTGTTGCGGTGTCTCTAGTTTATGTGAAGTTGTCGACTCTGTGCTTAAAAAAAAAATGCAAATTTTTAGAAATTTGTTAGTACAGCACTACACTTTTTAATAGCTAAATATTTTTTAATGTCATTTATCTTCTCACGTGATGTAAACTACCAAAATTATTAGTAGTTTTTGTAAAATTTATATTAACTCGTATTTATTGTAATTTTTATAAAGTCAGCTTGTTGCCTTTGTAACTTATGTTAACTTATAGTGCCACCAACTCCAGGACTTGGTCCATGGATCTTTTTTCTTTGGCCCGAAAGAGATGAGAGCCATTCAAAGCCAACTTTCCGAGAAGTGCACCACGTCTGAGGCTCTCACCGCCTGCTTGTGGAGAACTCGAACTCGGGCCCTCGGGTTTGACCCGGACGAGATCGTTCAGGTCTCGAGCCTCGTCGACGTCCGAGGAAAGCTGCACATACCTGATGGGTACTACGGCAACGCGATAGTCTATCCAGCTGTGGCGGCAAGGGCGGCGGTGCTGGCGACAGAGCCGCTGGGGTACGCGGTGAGGCTCGTGAAAGCTGCAAAAGCCCAGGTGAGCGAAGAGTACGTACAGTCGGTGGCGGATCTTATGGTGACGAAGGGGAGGCCTATGTACACGACAGCGGGGAACTTTTTGGTTTCAGACACAACCTGGATTGGGTTTGACGGGTTGGATTTCGGGTGGGGGAAACCAGAGTACGGTGGTCCCGCGGCAGGCGTAGGGCCGATTTGTTTCTACGCGCGGTACAAGGGAAGTGGTGGAGTAGCTGGGCGTGTTGCAATGCTCTGCTTGCCGAGGCCAGCGATGGAGATGTTCAAGAGGGAATTGAACGAAATAACCAGAGAGGGCCGTGTCAGAATGGTTATAAAAACCTCGCTTTAATTAAAATGTCTACGTTTTTCTTTTACTTGTAAGTTTGTTGACGGTTAATTTCAAACGGCAGCGCCGGGTCTTATGTTGCGACCTGTACGCACTCACATGAATAGTTAACAGTTCTATTACTTGGCATTTTCATAATTATTTTTTTTAATTTATTGATTTTATTTTTTCATATTAATTTTGTTGTGAATCTTTTTCTTTGTTCTAGGTAATAATTTGATATTTTAATTTCTTTTAAAAGAAAGTTTTTATTAAGGATATGAATTAATATTAAATTAATAAATTATCTAAATTAAATAAAATCAAACCATTATTTTGAATGAGGGAAAAAATTTTTAAAAAAATGATTGTCAAAAGAATTAACAAAGAAAAAAAATTAAATCAATAGATTAAAAAAACCAATAAGTACGAAGAACCATATTAGAGAATACCAAAGCAGAAGATTGTTATATTTTATTTCACTTTAAATTAATCAAACTCATCTTCAATCAAATTTAAGATTTTACTAAACAAGTTTACTTTTGAAATATTTCATATATTCAATTTCAAACAAACCTTTAACACAAAAAATTTAAGCATGGGTGCTAAAATAGTTCAGTGTAAATTCTTGATATATATGTAAGAACATATGATATAAAAAGTTTTATTAATTTTAAGTATTTAACAATAGGGTAAATAAATTTTACTTAATAGCTTTTATAAAATTAATTTTTAGATTAAAGTAATTATATATTTAATGATATTTAAAATATTTAATTTCACTTTTTAAATTAAAATAATTAAATATTTAATAGTATGAAAAATATTCAATTTCAAAATATCTAAATTATGATATAAAATATGCCCTAATTGCATGTTGTTGATAATTACCAGATTTTTTTGTTTCATTCTACATTGAGTAATTCTAGTAGAAACTTACAAATTAAAGAAAACATAGACATTTGAAATTTTGAAGTGAACTTGTGATAACCATCTCTCAGGCACATTCTTCCCTTGTTATTTCACCCAGCTCTCTCGTGAACCTTTCTATGGCTGGCCTCGGCAAGCAGAGCATTACAACACGCCCATCTACTCCACCATCGCCCTAGCACCACGCGTAGAAACAAATCGGCCCGATGCTCGCCGTGGGCCCATCGTACTGCGGCTTCCACAACCCAAAATCCAACCCGTCGAACCCAAGCCAGGTTGTGGCTGAATCCAAAATGTTCCCCGCTGGCGCGTACATAGGCCTCTCCTTCGTCACCATAAGATCCGCCACCAACTGCACATACTCTTCACTCATCCGGGCCTACGCTGCCTTCACGAATCACGAGCCTCACCGCGTACCTCAGCTGCTCTGTCACCAATGTCGCCACCCTTGCCACCACGGCTGGATATAATGAAAGTGTAATTCAAAGATATATTGGAGAATAAAAATCCCTCAATTGAGAATTTTTTTTTAGACCGACTTAAAATAAAAATAATTTACATTTTCACTCTGTAGGTTTTTAAAATTACCAAGCCATCCGGCTTGACAATTTCCCTAACTTCATCTACTTTTGCCCACAGACCTCTTGAAGTTGAAACCTTTTTAATGGGGGCTTCTAAAGCTTGAGACTTTCAACTGAACTACCCGTTAGCTAATTAAGTAAAATGAGTAATAATCAGTTTTTTCATAACTACGTAACGATATATCGTTTTCTTTTCGTAGTTGTTAAGATTAAATCAAATTAAACAGTTGCGTTATAGTTTAATTAATTGATACAAAGAATGGAAAAACGTTTCTTTAGTGAACAAGGGATGTTTGGTCATCAACCCAAAAAAAAAAAAAAAAAAAAAAAAGAAAAAAAACTTCAGCCGAAATTCCAAAAATGTGAAATTAGTATTTGAATCCAAGAGACACAGATGGCTTCGACACTATTTTGCACGGAGTCTGCTTTTTCTTGAAAAGCCATTTTGCAGCTTTTACGCAATAAAGTAGGTGTGCACGTTTACAAGGTGTTGGCAAATACTATTACAAGATTACAAACGAGTATTTTAAGTAAAAGTAAATAAAATTTAATTTTAATTAAAAAGTTGAGGTGTTTATAAAATAGGTAAAAAAAAATTTAGAAAGTAATGAAATGGTTTTTACAAGATAAATTTTAAAAATTAATTGTAAAAATATTTTAAAAATAAAATAACTTTTATATGGAATTAAAAGAAATATGTGGGGAGAAGAGAGTCAAATAATTTTAAAATAATTTTTATTTAATTATAAATGAGATAAGCACTCTATCTCTCAACTACAAAAAATAAGTTCTATTCCTAATTTTATTAGCTTAAAAATAGAGAAACTAAAGCCAAAATCTAGTTTCCAACCACTAGAAAAATAATTTTGTATCTTGGACAGTGCAAAAGTGCTTCTCCAAGCTGTTGCAAACACCCCCCTCCCCCCACTCTACGTGCTTATTTAGTAAAAAATTAAATATATAAATATAAGTTATTAACAATTAAATTACGAATAAGTTAATATAAAGAAACTTTTGTTTGCGTGAAAAAAAAAATCGGTGAAAATGACATTTATTTGAATTTTAATCTTCTATGATAACAATTTGTGATTTGTGGTGGTGAGTCTCAGTGACATCGCAATCAAAAAGGTGGAATCAAATGGATGGATGGCTACCAGCCATTCATTTTAGAAGAATACAAGTAACACGAGATCTTGATGGCAAAATATAACGAACAGCTGCAATGCATTGAATGCACACTGAAAAGGTTGAAGTCACTATACGTTTTTTTTTTTTGAAATGCTAAATGTGTGTTTTGTAGGTAATACACCTGTATAGGATATGATATATGTTATATATAATTTATAAGAAAAAGTGTAAATATCTTTCAAATATATGTTGAGATTTTTACTAAAAAATTTGTAACATCTAGTCTTATATTAGTTTCTGAAAATAATTTAATATAATATATAAAAGACTTGATAATACTATTAAATAATTTGGAATTAAGTATTTTGTGTCAGTGTTTTAAACTTAACAAATTATTTAAATTAGTAATTCTCGTATTGTTACAAAGTCAATCATGTAAAAAATTATTTTATTACAAATAAATTTTTATTAGTCTTCTCTTGATAATTAGACAAATAACTTTTTAAAAAAGAGTTTCTCATATCTTAAGCCTTCTATAGTTATTTTTCCTAAAAATAAACACATGCGCGCGCGCACACACACATATATATTAAAACAAAATTGGAATAAATCCAATGTCCAAATCATGCTGTTCACGTTTTAGAAGCCATTCATTTTACGTAACCAAAAGCTATTCAAATCATGTTGTTCATGTTTTAGCAGTCATTCCATGTCCCACAAGTTTAAATCAAAAAAACTAAGAATAAATAAGATATATTTAGTTTTATAGAAAAAAGTCAATATTTTGTCAACAGAAGTTAGAAATTTATTTTAAATATTTAATTTTTATGATGAGAAATTAATTTTATGAGAAATTTAATTTTAAAATCTTTCATATAAAATCAATTTTTTTCTTATATAAATTAAGTTTCATACAAAAATATGACTTTATTATAAACAAAAATACAAAAATTAAAAAAATTTTAATACTAAACGCCTCCTTATCTTAATATTTGCAGAGTTTTTCCTACCTGAAAAGACAAAATGAAAAAAGAAAAAAAAAAAAAAAAGAGTTTTGGTGGTCACGACTCGCCGCTTGGAAAGGCGGTTGTAAAGTCAATCTTGTTGGTCACATGGTTTCACAAAGAGGGATTATAAAATTTCAATGCGAATGAAATTTTTATAGTAAATTGTATCGGATAAATTAAAGAGTTAATAATTAGAGTTTCAATTTTAATAATTTTATAGATATATTTTAATATTTCATAAATTTTTGGGGGAACTGTATCCCTTCAACTCTCAGTAATATCCTTACCTCTGTCACCATTTAAAAGAAAATGATAACCAAGCTCTACTCCTCATTTTTATTAAGAAATCCACAATTTAATATGAAAAATAATTTGAAAAATCGAGATATATAATTTAATTTAATTACTTATATAATAAAGAATGTATGATTTGTATATATTACCTTAAGTTGAAATTCTAATAATTAGCTTACCTCTGGGTCCTTGCCTGTAACAGCCCAGGCCGCCTATTTGCAAGATATTGTTTGCTTTATCGAGTTGCGTCACTACCCCTCACAATAGGCCCGCTCCACAACCTCACAGTTTTGTTTCTCCCCCTTCAACAGAGGGGAAAACTCGTCTTGTAAGGGAATGTATCCACACCCCTCTTAAAGCATGCTTCGTTCACCTCCCCAACTAATGTGGGATCTCACAATCCACTCCCTTTGGGGCACAGCGTCCTCACTGGCACACCTGCCCAGGCCCTAGCTCTGATACCATCTATAATAGCCCAGACTGCCCATTTGCAAGATATTGTCCGCTTTGCTGGGCTGCTTCATTACCCCTCATGGCAGGCCCGCCCAACAGCTTCACAGTTTTGTTTCTCCCCCATCAACAGAGGGGAATACGCGTCTTGCAAAAGAAGGTATCCACACCTCTCTTAAAGCATGCTTCGTTAACCTCCCTAACTGATGTGGGATCTCACAATCCACCCCCTCGGAGTCCAGTGTCCTCGCTGGCATACCTGCTCGAGCCCTAACTCTAATACTATCTGTAACAGCCCAGGCCGCTCGTTTGCCAGATACTATCCACTTTGCTAGACTGCGTCACTACCCCTCACGGTAGGCCCGCCCCACAGCCTCAGTTTTGTTTCTCCCCCCTTAACAGAGGGGAAAACGCGTCTTACAGGGGAAGGTATCCACACCCCTCTTAAGGCATGCTTCGTTCATCTCCCCAATCGATGTGGGATCTCACAATCCACCCCCTTGGGCCCTAGCGTCCTCACTGGACCACCTACCCGGGCCCTAGCTTTGATACCATCTGTAGCAGCCCAGGACACCCATTTGTAAGATATTGTCTGCTTTACTAGGCTGCGTCACTACCCCTCACGGTAGGCCAA